ATAGGAAGAGGCATGGCGCAGAGTAGTAAAACGGGTGTAGTGAAGAAGAGGAGCTTCAGCGGCATTTCTCGGCGCCTCAGGGGCATCGCCATCAGCATAAGCTCGTGCTTGCTGCGCTTGGCCGGATGCTGCTGACTGCTTCGCTTTCTGCGTTCTGCTCTGCAAATAAACCCCGTTACAAGTGGGGGAGTCTGCTGGGTTTCGATCACCCTGGAGCTTCAGAATCGCATTTTACCATCCATTATGCCTACCGACGCAAATGCCGCTCCAACTCCTCCACTGGCACCGCATACTGTCCCCTGCGCCGGTTCTCTGCGTCTGCGAGATCCCCCTGTTTTCTCAGGCACAGAAGACAAGGACGTTGATGACTGGATTTCAATGTACGAGCGAGTGAGTACTCACAACAAATTGGATGACGCCGCCAAGTTGGCCTACGTCTCCTTCTACCTGTCGGACGTGGCCAAGCTGTGGTTTATAAACCACGAAGCGGAACTCCCTACATGGTCGGTCTTCAAAACGAGCCTCACACTAGTTTTCGGACGGCCTGAGGTACGCAAACGCCGTGCCGAACAACGCTTACATACTCGGTCCCAGCAGCTTGGTGAGAATTTCACAAGCTATATTGAGGACGTTCTGGACCTTTGCAAGCGAGTCAACGAGTCGATGTCCGAAGAGCTTAAGATCAAGCACATTATGGAGGGCATTGAGGACGACGCTTTCCAAATGTTGCTGTCTAAGAGTCCTCGCACTGTCCTAGAACTGACCGAGTTATGCCAGAGTTTTGACGAGTTGCGCAGGCAACGTCTTTCCACCCGACGTCCCTCGGTGCTCGACGACTCTTTGTCCAGCCTTTCCACCCTTGGCATAGGAGAAGACCATGCCCTTCTTCTCTCCAAGATCCAACTGTTCATCCGCGCTGAGGTCGCTCGTCAGCTCTCTTTGATGTCCTGCGTACCCGATCAACCACGCAGATTGACGTCTACACTCCGTGACTTCATTCAAGACCAGGTCGCACAAGTTCTTCCTCCCGCCCGTGAACCGCCCCCAGTCGCCGCACCTCTCACGTACGCCGAGGCCGTTGCTCGACCTCGACAGCCTGCGTTCCAGCCAGCGCCTATGTATTCGCCGCCGCCCTTTTCGCCGCCGACCTATTCACCGCCGCCTATGCCGATACCACCTCGGCCGCAGTTTTCTGCCCCCCAGCCGCAAGTCGGAATCTACTCCGACCAATGGTGGACTTACGACAACCGTCCCATATGTTTTCTTGTGGCGGTGTTGGCCACGTGGCACGTTATTGTCGTCGTCGCCAGGCTTCTCAGAACATTCGACGAATGCGCTCTTTCGACCCTCAGTTTTCTTCCACGCCTTCAAGCCCTCCTTCTTCTTCCTTTCCTTCTGATCGTCCACACGGCCCGACCGGCCGCTCCCCATCTCCACGTCGACGTTCGCTTTCCCCTATGCGTCACCGTTCCGGACCCACCGACCAGGAAGACTAACGGCCGCAGTTCCCGAGGCACGAACTGCGTCCCCGTCGCCATGCACAAGTCCTCGCCCCTGTCCAGCTAACGTCATAGAAGTGTCAGTCGATGGTATCGTCGTCATGGCGCTTGTCGACACCGGAGCCGCTCTATCCGTCCTTTCCATCAACCTGTGCCGCAAACTCCGCAAAGTTCTGATGCCATTATCCGGCCTCTCTCTTAGAAGGGCTAACGCACAAAGTGTAACACCTCTCGCAGCCTGTACCACACGAGTCATCATCGAAGGGATTGTGTATATCGTCGAATTCGTAGTGCTGCCCTCGTGTTCCCATGACATGATACTCGGCTGGGACTTCCTTGCGAATAATAATGGCGTCATTGAATGCTGTCACGCTGAACTTGAGCTATCTGCACTTCCTGATGTTGACGCTGTCGAAGCCTCCCTGTCGTGTTATAAACTGTTTGTTTCCGACGACACCACCGTACCACCGCGCTCTTCTCTGCTGGTGACTGTGTCGTGTGACGCTATTTCCGATGGTGATGTTTTATTTACGCCCTCTGCCCTGTTCATTCAATGCAAATGTTCTCCACTGCCCGTTGCTGTCCTTACTCTCCACCATGGCGTCACGAAGACGCTCGTGTACAATACGCTAGAAGGGCCTTTACCTTTATTTTATGGTGTATGTCTCGGTCACGTGCATCAGATCGACGCCCGTCACATTTTTGACGTTCCATCTAGTTTACTTGCTACGGACCTCAGCGCACTCATTTCTGACTCTGTTGTTGACCAGTCACTCCTGGACGCTTTCCACCGCTCCATCGATGTCGCAACGTATTCTTCAGAACGAAGCCAGTTAGTGAACCTGCTGCAAAAGTTTCGTACTTCTTTTGACAGCCACGCTTTTGGCCTCAGTCGCACATCCAACATATCTCACAAGATTGACACAGGAAGCCATACGCCTCTACGGCAGCGCCCCTACCGAGTCTCAGCGTCGGAGCGCCGTGTTATTGACGACCAGGTTGCTGACATGCTCCAGCGGGGTATTGTACAGCCTTCTAACAGTTCCTGGGCGTCACCGGTCGTTCTTGTTAAGAAGAAGGACGGCTCCATTCGGTTCTGTGTGGACTATCGACGTTTAAACAAGATCACCCGTAAGGACGTTTACCCGTTACCGCGAATAGATGACGCCCTTGACTGTTTGCAGGGAGCAGAATACTTCTCTTCGCTGGATTTACGGTCTGGATACTGGGAAGTTCCTATGGAAGCATCTGACCGACCGAAAACAGCATTTGTCACACCTGATGGATTATACGAATTTACCGTTATGCCTTTCGGCCTTTGTAACGCTCCTGCCACTTTTGAAAGAATGATGGACACTATTTAACGAGGCCTCAAGTGGAACACATTTTTATGCTACCTGGATGACGTAGTTGTCTTTTCCACCGATTTCGACACCCATTTAAATCGTCTCGAGCACGTCCTCACACGTCTCACCGACGCCGGCCTTCAACTCAACCTCGAGAAGTGTCGTTTTGGTGCCCGGCAGCTCACCATTCTTGGCCACGTCGTATCGCGGGACGGCATACTTCCCGACCCCGCTAAGCTTCGAGCAATCGCCGATTTTTCGAAGCCAAAGAACTTGAAGGAACTTAGAAGTTTTGTCGGCTTGTCGTCATACTTCCGACGCTTTATTCTGACATGCTATGCGTGCCATCTGACACGCTATGCCAAAACATCCGCGCTGCCGACTGCCACAGCCCGTGACGTTGGAACATTTCTGTTGCAATGTTTCATTCTGCGTCATAGTGCCCCTCGCGAGCTCTTAAGTGACAGAGGCCGTGCCTTCCTTTCTGACGCCTTGAAGGCATTACTCAACGAATGCCGAATCGTGCACCACACAAGTACAGCGTACCACCCTCAAACGAATGGGATTACGGAGCGCTTCAACCGTACTCTTGGCAATATGTTATCGATGTACGTCGCCTCTGATTATTCAAATTGGGACCAAGTTCTCCCATTCGTCACCTACGCGTATAATACTGCCGTACAAGCTACTACTGGGTTTTCGCCATACTTTCTTCTGTACGGACGAGAACCTTCAAATACAGTAGAAACTATTTTTCCATATAAACCTTATGAGTCTGAAAGTACAACTCTGTCCGACGCTGCCCGACATGCTGAAGAATGCCGCCAGCTTGCCCGCTCTTTTTCTTCCGAGGACCAGTGGCAGCAGCAATCCCGCCAGACAGGGGACCGTACGGCTCCAAACTTTCCACCTGGTTCATTGGTATGTCTTCGGGCACCTGCTACCGCACCTGGCCGCTCCGCAAAACTTATTCCCAAATACATCGGGCCATACCGCGTTGTAGAGCAAACGTCACTCGTCAACTATATCGTGGAGCCCATCATCCCATCCACAGACCTACGCTACCGCGGCCACGACACTGTTCACGTCTCTCGCCTCAAGCCATATTATGACCCATTAGTCGTTTCTTCTCCCTAATCCGCAAGGATGGCGTCTTTTTGTGCGGAGGGCGATTGTAGTGAAGAAGAGGAGCTTCAGCGGCATTTCTCGGTGCCTCAGGGGCATCGCCATCAGCATAAGTTCGTGCTTGCTGCGTTTGGCCGTACGCTGCTGACTGCTTCGCTTTCTGCGTTCTGCTCTGCAAATTAACCCCGTTACACAGGAATGGAAGGGGGAAGTGAGGATTAGAAGAGATGGTGGCAGGGAGACGCCATTTCAGGAAGATGAGTGCACAGATAGGCGTGCTTACGGGGGCGGGACATGACAGGGAGGGGGGCGGCGTGATAGACCTCCGCCTATCTCCCCCTAAAAGGGAACCCATGCTTATGCCTATGAGTGTACACACCTCTGAGCACTAGGTTGGAGTCTCTTTCCCTCTTAAAAAAAAACGGAGGGCAGTTAATGCAGTGGAAATTGAACCCAGCACCAGAGCGTGAATCATTATCACGAACATGCATTCACTGGCTGAGTAGAAAAGAAAAGCTGCTCAATCGCGACTCGATGGTGCTCTTTTGCCCCACGTAGACGCTGGTACTGCATTCATAAGACAATACAGAAAAAGCACGGGCTAATGATATTACATTAAAAGCAAAGCAAAAACTAAGTAGCGGCAAAATGAAATGGGCAATGCTACATATACAATGCAATCGGGACATTCAATAAAAGTTACGCGCATAACAATATATATTAACTGGGCGATGTACACTTATCGCAATAAGTTTTGAAAGTAATTATAAGAAAGATCACGGATGGAGGTGTGAGGTGAGCCATATTTTAGTACAGCATGCAAGATATAGCTTAAAAAGTTTGAAAATAGCAGTTCCGTGAGATACATACAATACTCGCGGTGCCGTGTACCGCAGTGATGAATGTTGTATGCAGGAATGCGAGGGTTGTGAATGCGAGTGCGGGAGGTGTGCAGTGCCCACTTCCAGCATAGAAGGTGGACGCTCTTAATGACTTCACCGCGGCCCGCTGTTTCTTCCGGTTTATGTAGATGGTGTTCGTGAAGATCCTACAGGACGCCCTCAGCAACCCCGACGCGTGTCCCAACAGCGCCCTGATGGTGACGCCCGACGTGGAGAGTGGTTGGTTCCTGGTGTCCTACCACGTTTGGGTGAAACACGATCACCAGCCGCTCAAGGACGCGGTGGCCGCCAAGCGCTTTCCCAAGCAGGGCGCCACCTACTTCGTGCACGGCGGCACGGGTACACTCTGATGCCCCGACCTGCCGAAGCACCAGATTAATAAAGGACTCGACCATCCACTTGAGCGCGTCCAGTTTTGGAGAGCATGAATCGCTTGAAGCAGCGTGTTGTGATAGCACAGCTTGCCTCTTGACAGGCATCACGTATTACGCGAGCAAGGGCGTCAGGTAGGACATAATACATACATACATACATACATACATACATACATACATACATACATACATACATACATACATACATACATACATACATACATACATACATACATACATACATACATACTTGTAAATACATACGTACGTACATACGTACATACATATATACATTCATACATACATGGGGCCTGGGAACTTTTGAGCAGCCCTGTACGTATGCGCGTGCGTACTACATGCAGGGTCGGTCAAAAGTTCCCAGGCCACTATGCCATGTATTCCCATGGGAGCGTAGCCTGGGACTTTTAACGCGATAGCGTTAGAGAGCTCGTGTCACAGAAATTCCACCGTTGGCTTCGGCCCCGTTGGTTGTGAGCGAAAAATAGTCCGCGACCGATAAAGCTCGTTACATAGATCATTGCGGGAGGCCGCTACTTGTCCACGCGTGCGTGCGCGATCGCACTGGTAAAGCTGCGCATTCTAAGAAAAAAAAGTGCTCAAGGTCACGAGGCGCGGGTGACGTAGTTTCTTTGCCTCTACCACCACTCACTGCTTAGCTTCCAGCGCTTTCGTGGGGACGAGAGAAGAGAGAATGCAATTGCAGCATGCGACAAACCTTTGTAACTCCACTCGCACTAGACGGATTCTTAAAATTTTCGCGGCGTTGAATAGGTGATGTAGTAAGCCCTTCTAGTGAATTCATTCTATGGTTACTTGAAGAAGCGTTTCAGGGCCCCTTTAACGCATTTTGTTCGACAGGTGGCACGACGAAAACGAGCCTATTCAGCGATTTGTAGGCGCATTTGGGAGGCCTCAAACTGCGTCGTTGAAGGCCGGGATAGTGCAGCCATCGCCGCTAAAGCATACAGGAACTTTCAAACAGCTCTAAAAATAGGCAACTATGTCCATCTAGTGGAAAACATATCGTCTTTCCAGATGTGTTGATCAAGCAAACAGTGAACGCTAGATAATGTGCTGCCATCTGTGAGGCATGGTGAGACTCTTTATGGCCACCGAGATGGTGAGTGCGCGGCGTGTATCTTGGAGGCCGTGCGACTCTTGCTTTAGATAAAAAACCTGTACGTACCATTCTCACGCGCACGCTGGTACAATCTACTCTGTGCGTGTGTGTGTGTGTATGTAACAAAACATATTAATAAGTGTGCACTTAGCGGTTGAATGGCGCACTATAGTGGCGAGATTTCACTATCGTGTTCAACTAATGAAGGCGAAGCTTAAGTGTCCCCCAATTTTTGACACCCCCCCCTCCCTGTACATTCATACCTACTACGCACCAAACAAACTTGCGCTTTGTTAGCGTTGTGACAGAACAGTGTTTGACAATGAGAAAGGCTAGAAGTTCATATTTAGAATGTACTTCACGGAACCATAAAGACAGACCAGACGTCTTGGGCAGCGGCTCGGTATGTCAGGTGTATAAAGAAAATACACTCTTAGAAAATACACTTTTAGAACTCAAAAGCTCTGTCGTACACATTTCGGATGATTACGATCATATAGCGACCTGTTGGTGTTTGAAAAAACTGCTCGTGCCTTGGCACTTGCGTGCTATGACAATCTTGTCATCTTTAGGAAAAGCTGCAACTCCAGGTACACGGGGAAAGAAAGAGAATGTTGAAGCGTGAGAATGAACATCTTTATTTACAGGGTAGCTTAAGTGGAGCGCCGTTATTTGTCCGCCGGATGCCTTGAGCTCGGGCAGCGTCCTGGACCCTCAAGACCAGCTCATCACCAAGGTTGGCACTGGCCAAAGTTCTCTCCAAAAGTTCGTAGGTGTGATAGTTGTTACGGGGTCTTAGTGATGATTTTCAGCAGCCCCCTACCGTGTGTAGGAGTCGGTATCAGGGTATGTCGGGCAGGCTCTGCCATTGCCATTATCGGACATTACAATGTATTGCTGTGGGTACGTTATACAGCGAGGAATTCTGCGAGAAGGGTTGGAATGATATAAAACTGTGAAATCTTAAGTGCCCAAGCCATATTCTGGTTACGGTTGCAATGGTAACTTCACAGTAATTTTAAAGTAAAATTTGGCAGATCTCACGTACAATGGGTATCGATGTCACGAGAATAGTGCGCAGGGAAGGTGACTGCGGTGTAATTTTTTTGTTGTTGCTGAGCTAACTTGTTACGAAATGATGCTAAGCTTAAGTAAAAAGGTTATACGCACAGACATGTTGAACAGTCACATATGTTTTATATAAGTCATTGTTTACAGTTGCGTAACGATGCCTGATCGGTTGAATATAATTTACTTTTTAGCATTTTCATTCTATTTGATCGTGAATTTTCCCACCAAAATGCATTTTTAGCCGCATTATGGCTGTATGTTGTGAGCATTTACGTTCCACAGGTGTTCTTAAACACAAAGTGACGTTTTTCTCGCGATAAGCTTTGTTAAAATTATCCAAACTTGATCTACCTTTTCGGTAAAACTATCTGACCAATCGACTTCAAATTTTCTTAGATTATGTGTAGATACCTTCCAAGCAGTCCGAACCTATAACTTTGACAGACTGTTTAAGTTACAAAAAAAAAACGATTACCTTTTCCTGTTAGACAAATATAAAAACCAGTTTTATAGGTCCAGATTAATGCTACTATCATGTGGAATAAGAGAGCCAAATATTAAGGCCTTACTGTTATCAGTTTTGAAGAAAAAGGTACATTGAATTTCGTGCTCTAGTCTGAAATCCGGTGCTCCACCAGAAACAAGTTAGAAAAGCAACAGAGTAAATTTAATTGACTGAAGGCCAATATCTCCCTAATCAAGCACGTAAAATTGAAGGTCAAAATATGGCATGATTTTGGAGATACAGGCCCGCATTCACAAACCAACCTTGACATTACCTCACGTTTTCCTTAAGTCTCTGTACTCTATACATGCGCCATAAGGGCACAGAAATGGTAACATGTTAAAACAAAACAACAAGATTGGTTCGTAAATACTGACCTACTTTATTCATCAAGTGCAACAAAGGCTTAACACAGATAAGGAAAACTGGAGGTAAGGATGAGGTTGGTTTGTGAATACGGGCCATAAAACTGAAACCGGGATAACCAATTTACCATATATGTCATACCCCCTTAAGTAAACCAAGTTTTTTCGCGGGCATTGTAAGTTTTCTGTGCGTCACCCGGTTTGGCACTGTCACCATACTGCCACCATCATTGGCCCGCCTAGCGACGATGTCATGTGACGACGTCGTCATGCATGTGAGATCATGATGTCACCGTGCGATGAAGATCTTTTGCATATATTTTTTACATCACTCGTGTTGACACCGACGACGCGACTGATGAATTTTCGCTTTCATCTTAGGATTTCACCTTGATAAAACTCATAGTCTTTGCAGACTGATATCGCGGCACTGCAGGTTAAATGTGCGATAAAGTTCGGATAACCACGTGTGTTTGTAGTACTTGTTTTCTTCAGTCTGCATCAGTTCTCATAGTCCTATACTCAGCTCTCAACGCGTCTCCCAAGTTTAATTAGTGGACGAAAAGCACGCTTTCAGAAGCGTGTTTCATCTTTCATGGCCAAAGACTATCTCAAAACACCGAGAATAAAACGTCTTATCACGAAACCCCATTCATTGGTCGTTCAACATTATCGTGACCCCATCACTACTCCCACATTCCTAACCTGTTTACACCCTATACTTGCAGGCAGAGCTCACGTGAGCCTCCTACTCACTCAGGGACTTTAGTCTCGTGCGGCACCTGATCGTGGGCGGCAAAGGTCATCCCGATAACGCAAGCGGCTATGCATGCGCTGTGATTAGTGCCAGCTCTTTAGATAAGAGCTCACCTCCCCCCTCCGGTTATTTCGCGCTGTCTAGCGATTGAACGAAGCCCTCGACAAACGTATACATCCCTATATGACGTCGACAAGCGAGCGCTATCAAGCGTCGTCGACAGTTGCCCGCTGTTTGTCCGGCGCGTTTCTTCCTGAGCGGGCGACGCCGTGGGCAGATCTGGATCTTTCGGTCGGCATGCCACTCGCGCCGTCTCTCCACCCGTCGCGCCGCCGCCGCAGTCAACGCTTCGAAAGTGTCGTCCGCCTATTATAAACGCCTAGATGCAGCAGGAGGCAAACAACGGGGCGCCGGGGGCCCAACCACCCGTAGCCGAAGCGCTGCTCGTGGACAAGCAGGACAACGCAGACGGAGACGACGGGAATGGCAACGTCGAATGCGCCATCGGCAAGTTCCGCGTGCCCCTGTTACGACGTCTGGTCACTCCGAGATGCTTCCTGCTCCTCTTCTGCATCCTGGGAATCCTGCAGGGAGCCTACAGGACGTACTTCATCGGCGTCCAGTCGACGGTGGAGCGGCGCTTCGCGATTCCCTCCAAGGCGATGGGTTTGGTCCTCACGGCCGAGAACATCAGCCCCGTGCTGGCCGTCATCGCCGGCTACTACAGCGGCGGCGAGAACTACAACCAACCGCTGTGGCTCGTGTTCGGCATGCTAACGGTGGTGCTGAGCTGCGGCCTTTGCGTGCTGCCGCACTTCGTGTTCGGTCCGGGCCTCCCGCTGGCGTTGTCCCGCATGGTCCAGCCCGGCCAGGAGACGGCCTCCGGACTCCTTCGTGGAGGCGGTGGCGTCACCTCGCTGTGCGGGCAGTCGAGGGACGACAAGGACTGCCTGTCCAACATCAACCTGGAGGGTGACGTCACCATCTTCATCATGTTCATTGCCAACCTGCTGAACGGCTTCGGTTCGGCCACGTTTTACGTCATCGGCATGACATTCATGGACGACAACGTCAGAAGGAAAAATTCGCCGATGTATTTTGGTGAGGAAAACACAAGAATGTTGCTTATAACACTTACATGTCTCATATGCATGTTCTCTCAAGCGCATTGCGTGGAGCTACGTAAGCAAGGAAATAATTGAGTCGCACAAGGCAACATAAGCCGCGGTATAGCGAAAGGAATCAAATTATTGTTTTCACTCCATTATCAATCAAACCTTTGCAGCTTCAGCGGAAGCTACCAAGAAGTATGTGCGGATTTCTCAGAAAGAACGTTTCTTAGATGGCAAAAACTTTCAAGCTTTAGGATGTTGTGCGTATACATTCCTGCAACTCGAGGGCTTCCGCGGAGGTGATATATAGTCCACATGTGACGTAATGTACGCAACTTCTTAAAGTACAGGTGCTCCAACATGACGGAGATGATGACGTATAGACCACGTAATCATGTTACAGGTAACACTTTTCAATGTGACAACGACGCCGCCTGAACGTTATTGGCCTTTAATAGCGAGTAAATAACGAAAAAAAACTGCGTGCGATGTACTGATAAGATTAATGTCACATCGCAAACTTCACGCCCAACAAGCGTGGTGCTCCAATATGGCAAGCCATTTAGATTTCATTGCCAGCTCCGAGTTGTCTAGCAATTCGCACTCGTGCAGTCCTTTGCCATGTATGAGAGGGAAAAGATAGGGCGAAATTCAGATTGATCGATTAATATGTGGGGTTTAACATCCCAAAACCACAATATTATTATGAGACGCCGTAGTGGAGGGCTCTAGAAATTTCGACCACCTGGGGTTCTTTAACGTGCACCCAAATCTGAGCACATGGGCCTACAACATTTCCGCCTCCACACCATGAAAGTCATTCAATTAGATGTCAGCCGCCGCAGCCGGGATTTGATCCCGCGACCTGCGGGTTAGCAGCCGAGTACCTTAGCCACTAGACCATCGCGGCGGTGCCGCGAAATTCAGACAGGACACGCAAGATGAATGACACGACAACCCCTTGCTTCCTGGTTAACTGTAGAATGACTGCACAGGAAATCCTCGGACCCCAGTTTTGAACCCCGGTCGGGGAAGATCTTTTCGTCAACATGAAAGCTTCACTTCTGAGAAATACACGTGGTTTTTTTTTCTGTAACTTTCTCTAACTATACTGTATTTCGTAGAAATGAGTTGCTATTCACAGGCAAGGGAGAGAAAAAAAGGGATGAAACCTGTGAGGGGGTTCGTATGTGCTTTTGCAGTATTGACCAAACGATCTTTTTTCCACTAATTTACTGCGTCTCTCGATTGCGTTGGTTCCTTTCACTCAGACGCTTCCCGAGTCTCACCCCCGTATTCTAGAACGTCCCTTCACTCAACGATGAAAGCGCACTCTCTAGGCATGGTATAGTCACAGCATATTAGCAATAATGTGGTACGATTCTCGTGCAGCGCAGCGTTAATTTCAACCGAGCAGCGGCGTAGTGCTCAACTCTGTCGAGTGAAGAAAGAAAGTCGAGTTGAGGATCGTTTGTGAATACGGGGGTCAAGCTTCTCTTGTCAAGGTGAAAAACAGTTCAAGAACATGCTTTCTCGTTCCGTTTTGAAGATAATGTTACCCTGTCTTACATAGGCATGCGCAGGTTACCTCTTCGGGTGGGAGGGAGGGCGACGGTTCGTCGAAGCACCTACCTCTTCTCCTCACTAGATCAATATATTGGCGCTGACTTAGGTGACTAAGAGGCGTGCCCCACCGTCACCTGTGGGCACGCCGATGATGTCTTACCATTCAGGAGAGTGTCGACATGACATCACCACGACTTTGCGTGTTAGTCTTACAATTTGCTGTAGCGTTAATAAGAATTTGTGAATGAAAACTGATTTAAAGATTATCAAGAAAACGTGGTTTGGAATGTAAGTAGATCATTATACGAACACTTCATTAATGTCTCTACTTATAATATTATTATGTACATTACAATGGCCGTTCAAATAAAAAAAAACATAGAATATAGGAATGGTCAAATTGTTAGTGGGACGACACTTTTTTTTCTAAATTTCCCGAGAACGTAGAACAAAGGTTTGAATACTATCTTTAAAAAGCGGCGCATCAAAATCATATTTATCTTCGAGAACGTTTTATAGCCGAGGTGTTTTACAATCGAGACACAGGTGATCCGCAGTTATTACGCGATTATTAACTTATTAGTCTTTGATGAAATCATCCATTGTTAGTTGAATCTGTAGTAAAGAATAAACTGTATAGTAGATGCTCGTCAACTTGCTGCACACCACATCAAACGTTTGCGATGGCTCCCCGTACTCAGGAACTGTTCCAACTATCAAGCACGGAATGAACGCTAGTTTGGTTAGAACAAGTATGTCGGTGATTTGCAGTAAAACGTGCGCGGATTTACAAAAAAAAAAAAAAAAACTCGAGTGTATCGTAATGAGACCCGCTCGTCAGCGTTCGTGTGCCCTTCTGCATAGAGTTTCTCAAAATTAACTAGAGGGCACTCTGGCGCTGCGATCGTTCAGCGACCATGGGAATGATGGGTAGTACACACACTTGCCTAGTCTTCGTACTTGCGGGCGGCGAATCGTACTTGCGGCTTGGTTTATTGCTGTGTTTCGATTTTGTTTTGAAAGGAAAATTCAATCCTTTTCAACTTCGTGAACCAATTTTGAAAGGTAATCTGGAAAAAATAGGGCGGTGAAGCGCAATCGCTGAACATTTGCTGAGTTTTGTTTCGTGAGAAAACAGCTTCAAGCCACACGAACACACACGGACCCAAAAGCAGGCCAGAAGTACTATTAGAGAAATGTGTGTACTACCCATCATTCCCATGCTCGTTGAAGCACCGTGCGTTGTAGCTCCCATAGACACTAGTGCCAGAGTTCCCTCAAGTGTATATTAGAAAACTCTATGGTGTTGGTGGCCTTCGTGGCCACCTGGCCTACGAAGCCACCAGTTATTCCTCCTGAGCATCTCCTAACGTAATTGTAGTGGGTCCCTGTGACCCCCAGCGTCCATGTGCGATACGACTGTAACCACGTGTTAACCAGCCCAGAGTCCTCGAGTTACACCACTGTGGCTACTTGTTTGTTCAGTGGTTGCGACCACGTAATAAACAGCCCAGTGTCCACGCGTTAAACGCTTGTGACCACTAGTTTGAATGTGACCACGTGTTAAACAGCCTAGCGTCCACGTGTTAAACCACTGTGACTACGTGGTGAAATTCTGTGACCACGTGTTAAACAGCTTAATGTCCACGCGTTAAATGGCTGTGACCGCGTGTTAAATGGCTGTGACCGCGTGTTAAACGGCCCATTGCAGGGCCGCCAGCACGTTATGAGCGAGCATCTAGTCATGTTTTACATGACATAACTATCATGATTATCATGTTCGGAAGTGTCATTTATCTTCGTCATTCATTCACGTCACGTAATACCAAATTTATTATATGGGGAGGTAGCGAAACGGCCACGAGCGCGCTATGAGCGTAGCATGTAGTCCTGTTTTACATGACATGCATGTCATGATTATCATGTTTGGACGTGTCATTTACATTCATAGTCCATTCACGTCAAGTAATACTAAATTTGGTATATGTGAAGCCAGCTAAACGACCGCAAGCGCACTATGAGCGTGGCGTGTATTCATGACTTACATGACATGCATGTCATGATTTCCACGCTAGCGTCTATCATTTATGTTCGCCATGCAGCCATGTTATGCCATAGCAGTTTTGCAATATGTCATGAGAACAAAACCACTGCAAGAGCAGCAAGACCATGAAATGCAAATCATGACATTTATGACATACATGTCATCATTTTTGTGTTATGACCAGTCACTTATGCTCGTCATACAGTCATGTTATGCCATAGCAATTTTGGTATCCATGACATTATTGAAACGGCCAGGAGAGCTGAAAGTCGTAGGCGGCTAGATAGAACTATGGGAGAGAAGAAGCCATCCCAGTCTTTCTAATATTTTACGAAAGCATGCGTGTTAACTTGAACGCTTATAATTGCAGCTTGGAAGACAAGAATGCTTAGTAACATGGTAAAAGTTTGCAATGGAGATACACCTTCTTATCCCTGGTATTACGGGTGATACTTGAGCCTCTCAACAAATTCTCTCGAAAACCTGACATCTACACTCAGTCAAAATAACACTGCATTTAGAAACGAGGGATTTTTATTTTCAATGTGCCTAATGGTAGCACTAACAGGCGAAAATTGCTTGCACTCTGAAGGAAAATGAGCTGGTACAACTCTCTTAGAGAGGTGAAGGACTGGTGAACCGAAGTTAGGTGGCCAGATTTTAAAACCTATTTATCCAATCCAATCATTTTGTAACCAAGCGAGTATTAAAAAATTCACAGCATATCCACGGAGTGAATCATGATGAGTGGGTTGAAGCGTCCGTCCGTCCGTCCGTCCGTCCGTCCGCCTGTCCGTCCGTCCGCCCGTCCGCCCGCCCGTCCGTCCGTCCGTCTGTCTGTCTGTCTGTCTGTCTGTCTGTCTGTCTGTCTGTCTGTCTGTCTGTCTGTCTGTCTGTCTGTCTGTCTGTCTGTCTGTCTGTCTGTCTGTCTGTCTGTGCGTTCATCCGCCCGTCCTTCAACTATCTGGAATCGTACGTCCATCCGTCCGTCTGTCTGCCTGCCTGCCCTTAAACTATACGAAATCGTGAACTATACGAAAACTACTAACACCATCTAGTGATATTATTTCGAAGGACATATACACCCAACGGCATTTAGGGAGCAATTCTTAAACCTAACTTGCAATGGCTACATAATACTATACTACTACAGAGGAGTAGTAGTAGTAGTAGACGACCTACACCTAGTAGTAGACGACCTACACCATCAGGAGCTTCGGCCCTAACAAATCACAGCATATCCACGGACTAAATGATGATGAGTGGGGCGAAGCGTCCATCAGTCAGTTCGCGTTTCCGTCCGTCCAATGATCCGTCCGTGCGTCCATTTGTGCGACCGTCCTTGCGACCGTGCGTTCATCCATCTGTCCGTCCTTCCG